GCATTCCTGACGCCACGGTTCCACTGCTGTACCGATCCTGCACGTCTGGTCAGGGCAGGACCAGGGCCCAAACGCTGGCAGAGGCAACGATGACCACCAAGTGTGGACGGTTGGAGTTGCCACAGAGTGAGAAGGAAAACATCCCACTGACGCTGGAGAGGTGCATTCTGGACCTGGAGAGACTGCAGAAAACCCCAGAGAAAAAAGAGGAGGCCGGGGCGAAAAGGAAACAGACAAATATTACAGGTAGATGTTTCAACAGTCAGATGTTGGATGTGCAGAAATAAAAATCAACAAGAATTATATCGTATTCTTTATCCCAACAGATTTCTATCTGGCCAAGAGAAGAGTAGTTTGGATGCCGCGTAAATCAGGCGAGTGACTGTCGGCCATTTTTTTAAATTTTTTAATTTCTTTTTTAATGAAAACGGTGCCAATATTCCAAGAGACAGTTCTCCTTTTTTAATGAAAATGGTGCCAATATTCCAAGAGACAGTTCTCCTACACTCAGGAATATCTCACTCTGCACAGACTCAAATCACCTGCAACAGACCTCAGCTACAAGCAGTTACTTCAAGATTAATTAGGGTACTGTGTTGACGGAGCAGGAGGACGGTGTTTCTCCCACTCCTTCAGAAGAGAAGATTAACGGTTGTCTCTGACTCAGTGGCTTTTATGCCCACATGAGTCACGGGGAAGGCACAGTATCGACTGACATTTCCTACTGTACACTCTACGGTGTCTGCTTCCAAGGACGTCTGTGTCTCCGACGGTGAATCATTTCACCGTTCACACTTACACTGATTTAACTGAAGCAGGGTGAAGGAGCATTTCAGTGTTTTTTCTTTATTTTGACTCTACTATATGCTAGGGCTGGAGGATGTGGACCAAAATATAAATGAAAATTCATATTTTTATTGTAAATCTGATTTATGTGTATACATATATTTATGTATATACGGTATGTACATATATATAAATAAAATTCCCCCTATGAAATTGTTACAAAAATCACAAAAAATCCAATTCTAAATAAGAATATATTAAATGAGAATTTAACACTTAAAAATTGACCAGTTGTAACAGTTGAAAAACTTCATGATTCCTTCCATATCGCGTATCAAAATACATCAATACATATCTTGAAAACTCGATATATTACCCAGCCCCGTCCAGCTGAACAATCTTGTTTTTCTGCAGCCGCGTACTTCTCGTTACATCCTCCTTCCTTCACTGTAGGTTAAAGTGTAGCATCATTACAATGGAACTGTTATAGAGTTTTTATATATATATTTACAGTATATATTAGATACAGATGTTTATAGAGTTTAACACAGCACTGTTTAGTTTAGAAGAAAAAAAAACACTGCAAATATTGCACATCCATCTGATAGTGTGGTGTTTCCACAGCACCTAGTTATGGTTCAGATATTTTGAAACTTCATAAAAGACAATCAGAAAAGAAGGTCTTCTCCCGGGCTAACGTCGGATGTACTTAGCTGATGCTAAAGGCTTTAGTCCTGTTTTTTGTTTTTTGTTTCCCTGCTGCTATGGTTGAACTGAGCTGGTGTCAGATGAGGGCGCTGTTGTCCTCATCTGGCAGCGCTGGCATTTATCCACGGTGATTCAAATTTAAAAAAGACAACAACAAAAAAACAAGTTGTTAATCAAACCAAACGGCGAATATCAGCGTAACCCCAAATAATGCACTTGTGTTTCTAGATGTTTGGGCACAGGTTCTACGTCACGTTTTGTATCAAAAGCAACGAATGAAAATAATCTATCCTTATTTATTGTAAAATACTACGTCGTGAGTTAATTTAGTTTAATTTGTATGAGAAATGTATGTAAAATGTTGGTTTTTCTTTTACTGTTTTTTTTTCATCTATCAGAGATTCTCTCTTGTTAGAGAAATGTTATATAAATAAATGGGATAAAAAAAGGATAACTTCACTGAGTTGTATTTTTTTTCACGGTCCGACGTATAAATTCGGTCACAGTTCGTATGAAGCAGAAATAAAAGGACAAAGAACTGACTGACAAAAATGTTTTTATTAAACAGAGCCAAGTTAGCATTCTTGGAAACAATACTGCCCCCTACTGGGGAATTTTCACCTAGACACGTTCAAGAAAAATGGGGGGTGGGAGGGCAGTGGACCAGTTTCCCTTCACACCATACATCAGGTTAATTGTTCACTCCGACCGTATTGTAGGTGTGTATAGTTGTTTGTCTCCCTCTCGCGGTGGCAGCTGGGATCGGGACCAGCTCCAGCCTCTGAGCGGATTAAGTGGTCAAAGATGGACGGTAAATTCACTGCAGAAGACCACCTCCCTCTGCCCTCCCCTCCACCCCCACGTCCCCCCAACCTATTTAAATGACTGTAAGTGGAGGACGTGTTTTAATAATTCTTCTGCCTCTCAGAAAAACTTCAACTTAATGATTTTGGTGAGTAATGCTTTTATTTTTTTAATTAATTTTTTTAAATTACTGAAGTAATAAATCACAAATACACACAGGCTCATATGAACTAGATGAACAGTGGTGTCACAAGGTCCACGTCCAGAAATAGGCACTGCCCCAGTCTCTGGATACTCTCTCTCTCTCTCTCTCTGCTAGATGTCCTGGCCTACAATGGATGGAGCAGAGGGACAGATGACGGCGGGGGGGGGGGGGGGAGGGGGGGCCGCAGCTATCGATGCCAATAACAATGGATCACTGAGAGAGAGGGGGGGGGGCAATCGGCCACACAGCGGCTGAGAGGGCTGATATTTATAGGGTGGGGGGGCTCCTCCACGGTGAGCACTGGGAGAAGCAGTGGAGGAGGAGGAGGGGGGGGGGGAGGGGGGGCCGCAGCTATCGATGCCAATAACAATGGATCACTGAGAGAGAGGGGGGGGGGCAATCGGCCACACAGCGGCTGAGAGGGCTGATATTTATAGGGTGGGGGGGCTCCTCCACGGTGAGCACTGGGAGAAGCAGTGGAGGAGGAGGAGGAGGTGAAGGCGGAGGTGGAGGAGGAGGAAGTGGAAGAGGAAGTGGAAGATGGGCCTCGAACACAGACTTGCAATGGCAGTGCAAAAATTGGATTAAGCAGTATGGTAACGTTTCTAATCTAATTTACGGCTCTGTGTGTGTGTGTGTGTGTGTGTTTGCATCCAGGCTTGTTGACATCCATCGTCCGTCTCCATCAGGTCACGGTGTGTCTCTGCTGCCGTCTGAAGAAAACCCCGTCCTCCTGTTTTTCATGTCACAGACACCTGCCACCCTTCATCACCATCACCATCACCATCATCTTCATCTTCATCACCATCAGAGCCGCGGCTCGTCCACCAAACCTCCTCAGGATCTTTGATTCATCAGCGGACGCCTACCTGCTCGACCTCCATTAGATCAGAGCGTCGCTGCAGCCGTGTCTCCTCCGTCTGCTGCTCCGTGTCCGTGTCGGTGTCGTCGGTGTCGTTGTTGTACTGTGTGTCAGTGGACGAGGCTGTAACTCTCTTATCTCCTCTGTGCCATCACTTCACCGTGTCAACCCAGGGATGTTCGCCGAGGACGGTGGTCGCGGTCGGTGTCACGTTGTCGTTTCTGTGTCAAATCCGTGTAGAAAATAAAACACCGATAAATCCTTGAATTCTTCCGTCCATAGAACCGAGACCAGTGGTCTGTGTTTCTGCTCTCATGTTTGTGTGATCACAGTGTTTTGACGTCAGAACAGAGGGTCGTTAACAATCCTGCCATCTGCTGAGCAGCACTAACAACAAAAAGAAAACGATGGATTCTTATATTCTTATACACATCGCTGGTTAGACGTCGATTTAAGAAAAAAATGTAACCCTTTCCTTTTTCATGTTGACGTGTTTCCAAAGACAAACTTAATTGAACCTGTGTTGAGTCTGTGTGTGGAGCAGAGTTCAAACAAACCTGCTGACCTTTGAACCCACATCTCAGAACCACTGCTTCAGTCAAACGGTATTTTTTTCTCAATATTTTAAATGTTGATGAGATGTCAGTTTATTCATAAAAAACGAACAAACAATAAAATAACAATTAGGAATGTTAGACACGTCTTAATAAGTTACCATTTTAAAATACATAAAAATCTGTATAACAGCTTTGTTTATTCTTTTCAAAAATATAATCTAACATAAACATGAAAACCTGCAACACAGTACAAAAAAAAACAAACAAACAAAAAACTGCTTCACCTTTAATCACCTTTAACAGATATCAATAGAAAACCTGGTTTTCCCAGTTTGAGATAAAAAAATAGCATGAATTATTTTTTATTGCACATGTATTATACATTTTACGGTAAATGTTTCAGTTAATTTCAAAATTAAAATATAAAATTCTCACTGACTGTCAGTAGAAATTTGGGACTAAATGTCTCAGAAACTGTCATGTCAAAGTTACAGAGGCAGGATTCAAATCAGAACCTTCCAGTAAGAAGATAACACCCCCCCTCCCCCCGACCACCCGCTGACAGGGACCTACCCCATCCCTTTACTTTTCCTTTAATAGTAATGGTAACAATATCAGAGTCATGCAGCAGCTGTAGGACTGCAGTGATACCTGTCCTCATGCCCCCCCCCCTCTTGTTCCCTCAGCTGGACAAGAGTGAAGTGGCAACATTAGGCCTACCCTCCAGCACCAGCCATGGAGGCTCTGACAGCAACATCAGCACAGACGGAGCAGCTGGGGCCTCGGGTGGAGTGGTCGCGGGTGCCGAGGCACCGGTGACCGGGGAGCCACAGCGCACCAGGGCTGCTCTGGAGCACCTGCAGCAGAAGATTCTGAAGGTGACGGAGCAGATCCGCGTGGAGCAGGAGGCCCGTGACGACAACGTGGCAGAGTACCTGAAGTTGGCCCACAACGCAGACAAACAGCAGGCCTCCAGAATCAAGCAGGTCTTTGAGAAAAAGAACCAGAAATCCGCACAGACCATCGCACACTTGCACAAGAAGCTAGAGCACTACCACAAGAAGCTGAAGGAGATCGAACAGGTGAGTCTTCGCTGCTGCGCCTGGGATGTTGAGCCAAAGTAACCCCGTGGTTAACCACTAGGGGGCGACTCAATTGGCTGAAAAAGGAAAAATGAAGGACCTTCATAATTGTCTTTAAACATTAATACATAAACGTTTCTTTGAAAATGTGACAGTCCAAAATACATAATGGCGCCTCCAGTGGTAGCTTATTTTGGTTGCAAAGACTCACATTGTAAATTTAGTGGTAGCTTATTTTGGTTGCAAAGATTCACATTGTAAATTTTTGTGAGACGAATAAGGGACTCAAATATTATTATTATTATTATCGTCCACTTCCTCATTCGTCTCCCTTCTTCACAGAATGGTCCAGCCCGACAGCCCAAGGATGTCCTGCGGGACATGCAGCAGGGACTAAAGGATGTGGGGGCCAACGTTCGTGCGGGGATAAGTGGTTTTGGAGGTGGGGTGGTTGAAGGTGTCAAGGGTGGTGTTTCTGCCCTCACACACACTGCAGTGGTCTCCAAGCCCAGAGAGTTTGCCAGCCTGATACGGAACAAATTTGGCAGTGCAGATAACATCGCTCACCTGAAGGACTCCCTTGAGGACGGTGTCGGGGGTCACTCCGAAGACACCCTCACACCACGCGCTCTGAGTGGAAGTGCCACTCTGGTGTCCAGCCCCAAGTACGGCAGTGATGACGAGTGTTCCAGTGCCACGTCGGGGTCTGCGCCGGGCAGTAATTCTGGTGGTGCAGGTGGAGGAGGTGGAATACTAGGACCCACCATGGGGAGCCCCCGACTAGACGGGCACCACCACCACCATCACATGCACAGCTCCTTGGACTCCCTCCTGGAAGGTCTGCAGGAGATCAAAGCCAGCCAGGCACACATGGAGGACGCCATCGAGGACATGAAGGGACAGCTGCAGAGTGACTACTCCTACATGACGCAGTGCCTGCAGGAAGAGAGATACAGGTAGAGAATGACTATATATCTATGACCTGTGGGGGCAGTGTTGGGTCAAGAGGCAGACAGGCACCTGAGCAGACAAAATAACAAAAGCCTCTAGTCTTCACTTCACTCTTGGCTTCACTTTTTTTTTTTGTTGTTGTTGTTGTTGTTGTTTTTACAATTATACAAAACTTTTTATTGTGCCTGAAAGAAATGAATTATTTTTTAAAACACAAAAATTTGAGACATGATGTATTAATTAACATCTAATGTGGGTCATTCAGGTCCTAAGATTTATGTATTTAAAAATTAATTTGCGACGTGTGAATCCGTGTGATCGTGTTCTTCTTTATTTATTTTTTTTATAGGTATGAGCGCCTGGAGGAGCAGCTGAACGACTTAACGGAGCTGCATCAGAATGAGATGACCAACCTGAAACAGGAGCTGGCCAGCATGGAGGAAAAGGTGGCTTATCAGTCCTACGAGAGAGCAAGAGACATTCAGGTAAAAAAAAAAACAAACAAACCGCAACGTCTCCTCACGTCTTTTAGAGATTTTGTTTTGCACCTCTGACCACTTCCTGCATCGCTGCACATGTAAATGGTGTGGTGTTAAAATGTGTTTTGTGATTTTTGCTGCACTGCAGTAAAGTGAGAAGTAAACCCGCACTGGCTTCAGCAGCAACAATAATTGTACCAGCAGCCTTCTATGTGCGACCCAGTGTTACTGTATGTGAAGTACGTACTGAGATTGTAAATCAGATGACCTCTAGTGGTGGCAGGTATTAAATGAGCAGGCAGTGGAAGCCTGGGCAACCCGAATTAGGACCAGAAAAAAAAAACTCTGTGTGAAATGTCCTTTAATCGGCGGAAATTACTGTTAACATTTATATCACCCTCAAAAATGAACAATGACATAAAACAAAAATCCAAAAATAACTGACCGAATATTTAGGAAGTAAAAGGTAGCAGGTTGTGACCTGGTCAGAAAAACATCTGTCAGAATTCTAAAAAGAAGGAATCAAGTGATGGAAACACTACTTACAGATAGTCAAAGAGTTATGTTAGGAATTATCTTGAGTATAGTATTATTATTAATTATATGTTAAGTAGAAGCTTAATTGGTTGTGAATTTTAGTCAGGCATCTCGTTTGATGTTCGAAGAGGGGTCCTCGCTGAGGAAAGTTCGAGAGAAAGTTGTAGTGTGCGCATTTCTTTATAAATGTCTGCTGAAAGTTCGATAAAGAAGTTAAACGTTATCTGTGTCCTAATTATTCTTTGACCGAAATCCGCTCACTAGTAAGGAGGTCCCGGCACAATAATTTCGGCACCCGTGTGCATCTACAATAACTTGGATGGAGGAAATATAGAGAAAAGGCGTTGTTAATTTCATGAGTAAAGGGTTTTTTTGTTCAGTTTATTTTCGAACATTTTGCCTTTCACTCGTTGCTTTTGTTGTTGTTTTTTGTTCCAAATGTAACATTCTGAAATAACACATTAAGTCATTGTTATCCAAGATGCTGAAATAGCTGTTGAGCCGAAACAAACTCCCTCGGTAACCATTTTGCAATTTGGATGAATGAGTTCATCAAATGTAATTGATATTAAACAACTAATTAAACCAACCAACTGCCTCCATCCTTTAGTCAAAATCTAATTGTGAGAGTGTATCATTTAACATGGTGAATTGTTCTTGTGTGGACAGGAGGCTGTGGAGTCCTGCCTGACTCGCATCACCAAGCTGGAGCTGCAGCAGCAACAGCAGCAGGTGGTGCAGCTGGAGGGGGTGGAGAATGCCAATGCTCGAGCTCTGCTGGGCAAACTAATCAACGTCATCCTGGCGCTCATGGCGGTGCTGTTGGTTTTCGTCTCCACTTTGGCCAACTTCATCACCCCGCTGATGAAGACCAGAGCTCGAGTGGCCACCACCACCCTGCTGACTCTGTTTCTCTTCATCCTCTGGAAGCAGTGGGACTTTGTGGAGCTGTGGCTGCTGCCCAGCTGAGCTGCCTGTGGAGGAACATTCAGAAGGAACCGTGGTTCCAAACACTACTGGAGGATTCCGTTTAAAAGCTGTGGCACGTTGTGTCCACTGTGCCGATTGAGTGCCAGTTTTAAGGACAAACATGGCATTTTGAAGATTTTTGAGGGAAAGGACAAGTTTGAAGCTCGGAAGCATCCAAAAGGAAAGACCACATCTCATCTCATCCAAATCGATTGCTGTTGATGTATCATCATTGCTATCACCAAAAAAAACTTTTTTTTTTCTCATCTTTGAATTGTGTTTTATTTGTGAAACATGAATCACAAAAATATAAGAGGCACTTTTAAGAATTTTAAAAACGCTGTTCATGTTCAATGTAACAATATGTTGACGTTTTATACATTTCAGAAGAAAGAGGGTTTTTTCATGAATGTCATGTGCTCATGCATGTCCTTATATGTGCACTAAAATACATTTAGCTGGCATGGGTTTACATTTCTTTACTGACAAGAGAAATCATGTTTAACTGTCATTTTAGCCACGTCATCTAAGTACAGTGCTGATACTTCTTTTATTTACCTAAAATCTGGATTATTATTGCTTTATAGGGGGCTCTGTTGTTTTATCTTTTTTTAATTAATAGACTGTTTAAAGAAGGGTCTAGCACAATAATGTGAATCCTGTTTTGTTCATAAGTAAAATCTGTTTGACAAACACTATTGTAAAACTGCTTTTCTTTATGTATCAGACTCACATGGCATGTCAAACTGTATTAAAGTTTATATCCAGTTTGCAAAAACTGGGAACTTCCTTGTTTGTCATCCCACAGACACAGACAGACTAAAATCCCGGGTTATTCTGGAGAGACGACCTGTTGCACCTCTGTCTCGCCACATCCACGTTTTATAAATTGATTTTTACCGAGCTGCGTGACCTGACAACCCACACAAAATCGAAAATCTGGCAACCCATAACTCTTCCTGGTAGCGTTATGACGTAGGACGTCTTGTTGTGACAGTGATGGAATTCAGCCGTTAGAGAGGAAACGAGCGGGTAAGAAAACCGAGCAACGGGTGTTAAAACAATTAATTCATGGTGTTTAATAAGAAGGAGGAGCAAAAATGTAACGTTTTAAAAAAAATAAAAAACGTTTAAAAGTGACACTGTCTAATGTGCTACACCAAGACAAACAAGCTCATAAGAATCCTCCCCCGCTTTCTCGTTTGCCGCTAAGATAGGTTAAGAGTTTCGTTACATGTATAAGTTGAATTTGAAATATAAATATCGAATTAAATCGTGGTTTCTGGGGTGTGGGTGTTTTTATTAGTTCTCTTGTCGATACCGAAAACCGGCACCGATTATTTTCTAGGTTGGAGTTAAAATAAATAATAAAAGTACTGAAACGCAGTGTTAAATAGTGGAACAGGGTGAAGTGCAGTTTGTTTGGTGTGAGCTCAACACAAACAACACTGAGCACAACATGCAAAAATAATAATAATTTTAAAAAAATCATTACAGACATTTCCCCTCTTCTGATTAACAGAAGACTTTTAAATCCCAAAAACAAACAAACAAAAAAGCTCAAATAAAGAGTGTTTTTAACTGACGTTATTGTCACATTGGACAATTTATAAACAAAACGAAAAAAAAGCTCAACTAAAGAGCGTTTTTAACTGACGTTATGGTCACATTGGACAATTTATAAACAAAACAAATAAATACATTTAAGTTTAAGGTTAAACTTTATTGATCCCACATTGCGGAATTAATTGTGTTAAATTATTGTATAAAAATAATAATAAAAAAAAACTTTTTGCATAGTAGTTAACACGGCGAGCAACTCTTTTACACAAATTGTGCTTTTCCAGTAAAAACACATCAGGCCAATACTGGTATCATTATTAGACAAGACTGTTTACTATACTAGGTATTTTTCTGATGTCAGCAATAAAAATGTTTAAAGTTGTCATAGAGGCTAGGGCAAAATTAAAGACAATCAGAATACTTTTCGAGAATTTATTTATTTTTTGTATAGGGTGCTGGAACCAGCAATACTTTACTAGATGTATTACTGCTGGCTGTAGTACCGTATCTGTACCACAGACACTGGCCTGTTGTACAGCAGTTATCCTGCAACACAATGTTTCTCTGTTTACTACGAGAATGTGAGCAGTGTTTAAACAAAATGCTTTTTTTGCCTGGTCAGAGAAACATCTCTCCAGTGTGTTTGGTAAATATAAAAACAGTGTAGGAGTTTACAACAGATGATGCCTAATCCTCAGAGTTAATTTTACCCTGCCAGCAGGACGAGATTATATTTATTCTGGGTTTCAGATCTTTAAGAAAGCATTAGAGGAACAGAATTGATAGACGGCCTGGGATCAGATGAGGATCAGTCCGATAATCCCGTGGATTAATCCAGGCCTACACCACTGTATTCGTCTGTCGCAGTGCTAAATGTCTCTGACGATCCTTGACATGACACAGCGTATGAGTGTAATCTTTTAATGTAGAGACATAAAATAGGGTTTCTATGAAAACAGAATTTTCGGGGAAGCTTTTTTAATTTAAAAAATAGATAAAAATTCAAAATCAAACCCCAACAACTTATGAACTTGTTCTGACTTTTTTAATCGTTTTCAGGCAAAACCCATAAGACCATTACATTTATGACAGGTGTTCTTAACAGTACAAGACAGAACTCAGGAGGGTCAGAGCCAGTGGCATGGCCACAACTGACCACTAAAAAGTAAGACATTCATCGTCATTAGATTGTTCCAACTTTTTTTTTTTGTACATAGAGTTCACAAATGGCATTTGCGTTTGACTCGTATCAAACACAAGTTTTTTTTTGATTACCTAGGAAATTCTAAAGACCTTGATAGAAACAGCAGAGTAGAAAAAAAAAGAAAAACATTGTATAACAAGCAGAAATATTCCTGATTTTGTCTATCAAGATGCAGGATGTACAGTATATTGCTTTCGGTTGCTCAACTTAAAAAGGATGGGACTTGGAGTCTTAAAAAGAAAAAGAAAAATCTGTTTGAGGTCAGTGTCGCTGACCTGCTGTCAGACTGGTCTAACTGTGGGAGCTGCCATTGAAAGAAAGTAGAGGAGCTAAATGATGAACAATCACAAAGATAGGACCAACAGTAACAGCCCCCTCCTAAAAAGTGCAGCCTTCTATCATTCACCTCCACTTAAGTTTCTAAAACAGTACTGTTTAATTTTTTTTCCACAGAAGTGAAAATTTTAAGTCTACTGTAAAAAAAAAAAAAAAAAACTAAAAACAAATACTCCTGTTTACTGAGAGCACACAGACTGAGGCTCCAGGCCCTAAAACACAGTATCCAGTCACAGCAGAACTACTGAGGAGAGGAGGTGGTGAAGTATAAACAACAGGATGACAAGGATTTCACATCCATTCAAGAAGCTGAACAGATGGCAACACACAGTCTGGACTTTATTCCTTTAACATACTGTCAATTGTGGAATTTTTTAATCTGATGTGATGCAATTTTTTTGGGTGCATGGAGATCAAATGTACAGTTAAAAAAAGCACATTGTTAGGAAGAATGTATGAAAAAGTGTCAAACTCCAGATTCTGTGTTGCCTGTGAAATGTAAAATGTTGTCTCCAGGGAGAGGGAGAGAACACGTGGTTGGTTGCAGACTCAGACGTGAGCCTTATTTATTTATTTTTTTGTTCCATTTTTTTTTTCTTATTTTTCAAAAACATGGACACAGGTTGATGCTCAGCAGGACAGAGTGAGAACTGCACCCACAGCCTCCAGGTTATAAACTGATATGCTGGTCCCACAGTTGATGTAAAGTGATGCTGCATTTATGGAAACGTTTGTTATTGGCTTTTCTAATTAATCTTAATTATCCAAAACAATGAAGTCAATTTAAATATCTTGTTTTTAACATTTTTAAGTGTAATCACAAGAGATGTCCTGATCAGCTGTGGCTCCTGGTCCGATCTTGTAAGTATTGAGTACTAAAGGATACCAACCCTGGTCCGTCACTTAAATTTAACTTCAAAATAAAGCTACAAACTGCAGGTTTTTAAAAAAATCAAATTACTGCCACTGTATTATGCTTTTATGAATTTTGGACAGTCAGGGTTTCACGATGGTCCCAATATGAAACCGACTAGTTTAAAATTAGTGTAAATTTATCTCCACTTCGTTGCCAATTGAACAGTGACTACTGTAGTCACTCCTTGCTCCTAACTCACAAAGTGGAGTATAGTTTTAAAGTAAAGCTAACAACACTTGTTGTCTAAGTAAACATGTAGTTCAATGATGTACGGCTGTGTCACTCTGTGTGCGTCAGGTAAATATAAACCTGGTAAATATAAAAATCTCATTAACATGTAAGATAAGTGAGAGAAGTAAAGGGGGGAAGGCAGTAACAGCGGAGGTACTGGAACAGCGGGGGAGGGGGTGGGTGACCTTTTTTGCTGCTTAAAAAAAATCCTAGTTGAAACACTGCTGTCATTTTCAGACGTTCTGGTGTAAGTGTGTTGTTTTGGAGCCACAGAAGAATCCACTCGTCTACAAATGTTTGCTAAAAGATGTTTCAAAAAAAAAACAAAAAACCTAGAGTACATGATTGGAACAGTTTTAACCACTCCATGAGCAATTTAAAATGCACAGAAAAGCTCAGCTAGTACAGTTTTAGAATCAGGACATCTCTAATCATTTATCACAGCCGTATTTTTGGCTCATATACCTAAAATAACCAACATGACCCGTGATGCTGACCCTCTCGCTGACCCTTTTCTCATATTGACATCTGAGAAAACATTAGGGAACGTTTCCATAAATGCAGCGCTAAGATGACATGAATGTTGACGTCACAGAGAGAGGTATCTAGGCAGACCTCTGGGTGTAGAACAGGATGTAGGCCTGAGTGTTGCACACCTCCTCCACACTGCAAACCTTCATCTGAGAGTCGTTACAGTGGACCCAGAAACCTGCGAACACAGAGACCAGTGACTTTAGACACGAAAACATCAGAACCTCTGGTGGATGCTCCTCTTGTAACCAGTTCATCGTCTAACTGATGGAAATCCTAGAATGTCACTTGTGTGACTTTTGTGTTAGAGGCATCACTGATTGATTTGGCCAACGTTTGATAAATATAGTCAGGTTTGTCAGTGGCCATCACCTGGTTCAAGATCGTGACGACCATGTTCTCACCTCCTTCTGTGTTGTAGCAGTATGCGGTGTAATGCCCTGAGCCGAAGCCTTTCCCATGATGCATGACTACAGCAGACAGATCGTAGGTGTAGCCTCCTCGGTGGACAGAGTGACCTGAGCCTGTGCAGCAGTATGGTTTGATGTTCAGTACCTGGTCAAAGGCCACGTGGACGCCGATCTTCTCCCTATGGTTCCGCCCCGACCATCTGTCATACAACAGAAGCAGTTAGTGAAATAAGGCTTCTTTATGTAAATGAACTCCTGTTTGTTGAAAAGGGTGAACAAACATTACACAAGGAGATGTACTAGGTGTCGGGTTAAATACTTGCCTGAAGCGTTTGAGGTGCAGCCGTAAAACCTGAGGTAAGCGGTAGATCAGAAGCTGCTTACACGCCTCTGACAGAACTAAAGGTTTGTGGGATGATTTCCGTCTTCTTCCTGTCACGAAAAAATAAAGTAAGAAAAAGGTTTGAGTCCAGATGAAGGCCAACATTCTGGGGCTCAAGGACAGAGATGCAGCTCTTTCTTACTGTCACTCCATCTTCACAATGAGTTACAGGGAAATTACTTTATGACTCACACCTTTTGTTTCCAGTACTCTCAAGGCCTTTGACTAGTCAGCTAACACTTCCTCACTCACAAATTATTTTTCTCTCCCTGCTTTAAAGAGATAGGTTTGAAAAGATCTGCGTCTTTCTGCCTTTTTTATTCAGACACCTGAAATTAAATAACTTTCTAAGACTGAATACAAAGACTAATCAAACAGAACAAAGAAACTACTACAACTAAAAAACAACATTTACGATTGAGTCAAATCTAACCACAGCTGTAGGATGACTGAGTCAAATCTAACCACAGCTGTAGGAGTGAAAAGAGCCAAAGGTCAAACAACATGACCTCTGAACCCAGACAAGCCGTCGTGTTCTTACTGTTGCAGTGGTTGCAGGCGTATATGTTGCCCTCCAGAGCCTCCATCTCTGTAAACTTAGACAGCATCTCGGTGAGGGTGCAGCTGCGCTGGTAAGCTGTAGACCCTGAGCCTTTGCCTACGCTGTGATAGCGCTCGGGAAACTCCAAGGATAAATCCCAGAATGGCTCCACGGTGTTAGACTTGTGCTTACAGGACAGGCACGTCACCTAGGAGGAGCACAGAACCAGGTGATGTGATACAGGATGTAGCTCTCTGTGGTGAATTTGCCACTTTCAGAGGTATTTTACAATCTATTGGAATGATTGTTTTTCTCCAAAACACACACACACACACCATCTGTGCTGTTCAGACATTTTGGTGTTGAATTAGTAACAGTGTGTGAAGGCAAAACGGCAAACTAAACTTGAGTTATTAACAAGCAAAGAGGCAGTTGTACAGTCACAGCGCCCTCTGTATGTCACTGTGATAATCAGAACTGCGTTAAAAACAATGCACCAATACCAAATATTTCAAATACTCGATACTCCGCCTCATCTCCCTTATTGGTAGTTTATTGGTCAACTTTGGTTTGTCAACAATGTAATACAGTGACTCAATACTCCGTCTCATCTCCCTTATTGGTAGTTTCTTGGTCAACTTTGGTTTGTCAACAATGTCAGGAATTTGGAGGCATTTTAACATCAAAGACGAAGACAAATTTATTCTGTTACGATTTGAGCAATTCAGTAAAACACCACGGTGGATAGATAATGTGTTTTTTTAGTTTAAATGATGCTTTGTTTACTGGAAAGCAGGTGACAGTGTTGTTCAATTGAAATGGGCTTTAATTTTAATTGTCTTTATTTTTTTTAATCATTTTTATTTATTGTCTCGAAACATTTGTTCCCTTTTGGATCAGAGCAGTCGTTCTGTTAACGATAAGATCAATAAAACTGGCGGTAAGCTCGTTGTCCTCAGTGTTGTTTGGGTTGAGCTCACACCTACTCCCTGTTCACCACAGAGCCGCACCACCTGCAGTTCATAACACTGTCTCGTAGTTCACTGCTTGTGAATTATTTATTGTTATTGGTGACAGTACTCAGTATTGGCCAGTACATTAAAGAATACTTATGAACTGTGAATACTTATGTACTTACAGTATGTACCAGTTTGTAAATAAGATGATACTGAGACAACTCTCAAAAAGTTTTGATTTACTTTAGAATGAGCAGTGATGTACCAGCATAACTAACAGACCTGGGCGTGAGACCTGGGTTCCTCTGTGAGACTGACTTCAGAGGTTCAGTCACAGGACTCTTACTACAGTGATTTTATATGATGTCATAATCCTTGTTCATCTTAATAAGATTAGCGTGTCCAACTTCAGAACCATTTGAGCCGGTGGGTTTTTGACTGTTGTAAATAAGGCTTTAAGTCTATTACTTTAAAAAACTGCTGCTGCTGCAGCACCAAGTTTTCAGTATCGTGCGCACAACATTTTCTGAAACGAACACCTGCTTGTAAACAACATTACTGAGAGTCAATAAAAGCCCAGACACAGACAAATTAATATACGTGCATTGATACCATTTTTCAGGTTTTGTCCAGCCACTGTATCTGATCCTCGTTTCAAACAGGACCACGGCGGAGAGTCCACACTCTCAACTGCACTTACCATCAACCACAAAATACAATTAGAGGGCGGTGATGTGTACAGATTACACAAAAAGCTGCAGGCCTAGAACATGCCAGCATAAAAACGAAGAGGCACGAGGTGCAGGATCTGCAAAACCTGCCACGATCACCGTTTAAGCCACCATGTCTGCTCCTTGGTCTTCACTTTAAAAATAAATCCTGCGGTATTAAAGGTAATGTACTATAAAAGACAATAAAAGGTTTGTTTCCCACTACTGTAGAGAAAATCATGTTTGAGAAACTCAGTGAAGCTGAGCAGATGTCTACATTTAGGACAATAAAACCAACATTATCACAGTGACTGACTTTTACTCCTTATTTAATTCAATCCTATTTTGAGGAGTTGAGACAGTCACTGACAAACCCTCAGCTTCATGCGGGTGCATTTAATGTGCGTTGGCCCACTCACCTGGCTGAGCAGCTGCCCATGAAAGATGGTGTTAAGAACCTTTAGCACTTGTTTGGACAGTTTCCTCTTGGTGATGGGGATGACTATCCTACGTTTGGACCCCTCCGTGTCCAGCTCCTGCTGCACCTTGTCCAGTAGCTCACACAGGAATTCCTGGGCGTCCTGCTGGTCGTAGCCACGAAAAGCTGGGATGAGGTTCCACACGGAGTGAAGCATGGCAAAGGGAGACACCAAAGTCCAACGTCCTGACCACATTACCCTGAAAAGTGTATGCAATTCATGGCACAGAGACATCTGCTGGCGGGTGGAGCTGCGAGGCTCCTTGGGCTGCACCAACTCCGCAGCTGGTGGGGGGGAGACAGCACTTTCTTTTTTGCTCATGGGCAAATTCCAAGATCCCGCCTTCCCCATGCGTCTTAGAGGGCATTCTGACAGTGCTGTGTTAGCACTGCTGACTACAGCCCCCGTTACCCCCTTTGTCCCCTGGGTGTGGTTGGACTTGGCCAACAGCTCCTCAGTCTCACACAGGTCTAAAGTGAGAAAACACTCCCTGAATTTCTGCAGGTGGCTGAGCACTTGCAATATTGAGTTCATATAGCATGTGTTCCCCAAATTACGCAGACCAGTGACACCTGGAGCCGGTCTCCGGCGGGTTACTGAATGTGTGGAGTAGAATCTCCTCAGTTTAGCAGCTCTGCCATTCTGAGCAGTCTTACGGGACAGGGTGAGAATGGAAGGCTTTTTGGGAGGTGGAGGAGGTAGGCGTTCTGGGGGGTCGCGAAATTTGCGAGGAATGAGCGTGATCATCGAGCGTGGCGCCTGAGTGAGAAGCCTAGCACTCTTTCTGGGAGGTACATTGCCAAGTTCTTCCATGAGTCTCCTTTTTACCTCCTTCTTTTGTCTTCTAGCTTCCTCAAGCTTTTCCATGCGTTGATTCTGCCGTTCCTGATGTTTGTCCAGCCACGTCCGAAACATCTTCCCGAGGAGCGCTTTTCTCCTGTAACGTAAGGCCAACTGCATGGCAGGTTGTGGTCCACTTTCTCTCGCCCAACTGGTACAATCCCCTCCGGTGGAGGACCGCAGCGAGCGTCGACCCGGGCTGCGAACAGTAGAGAGTGCCCCTCTGAGAAGTTTGAGGTCTCCCTCTGCATTGTCATTGAGGACATAGTCTCCACAGGCAAAGCAGAAGACATCCAGCTCCCGCACTTCCATGGCTAGAGGGTGCTGTGACTCCTGGAAGTGTTTGAGCGAATGCTCTTCCATGAAACGTCCACAGGCCACATGGGAGCACTTGAGGCAGGCCCACACCGAGTCGGTGGTGCTGCAGTCCACACAGTGCCATTTTTGAGGATTGAGGATAGAATGATCTTGGCCCAGACGCAGGCGTCCCACGTGTTTACAGCGATCCATCTCTCAAGATACTCATGTGGCCTCAGTGATAGGACACATGTCCTGTTCTCCAGCAGTAACTTACTCTGAAGTTAACAGATGTAGAAAAAGTGGAAAGATGTCACAAACATTGACATTTTAATGTGTTACTCAATTTAATATACAAATTAAAATATCTTTTTTTTTCTTACTGTACATGAAGCTTGGTGTAGTAAAATACATCACTGGTCTAGAGAAAACTCAAATGCAACATTCAGTTTGATCGACCATGGCCACCGGTTCCTCCAGCAACAACAGGCAAGTTCTGTAAAAAAAAAAAGAAGAATAAAATAAATTTTATATAAAAAAAACATCCCATCAACACAACTCTTTACATTAAATATAAGGGTTTTTTGTATAATAAATATAGTCAAATTTAGAAACAGATCAGTTTCTTCTCATGTGTAGAAGAGTTTTTAGAAGAGTTTCAAATTTAATCAAGTCTGAATGTGTAGCTCAACTTAATGTAATATAAGCACCACTACAGCAACCACTCCACAAATAAAACACAGCAGACATTTGATACGACATACATATATATATATATATATACTGCCGTTGGCTGTAGTAATAAATGAACACCGTAGGGTTGTGGTCGACAGTGAATCCAAGTTGTAGTTACTACATTTTACTATGTTAAAGCTAAAATGTTTTTAAAAATGTAACTTCTAGTTGGTGTAAACTAATCCCAGTTATTTAAAACACATTAATCACATGATGACATAAGGCCAACAGTTTGAGTGGGTCAATGACCTAAGGGTATGGCCTCTTTTTTTAAAAGAAAAAAAATGTAATTACACATTCATTCCAACATCTAAACCTGGTATTACGACTGGACGATGTGTTGAATAATTACTTATTATTAGGAAAATGTTTACCCACATTTGTGGTGTTTCCACATAATATAGTCTGGAGATTCCAGTGAGCCCAGATGGATTAGAGCAGTGTACAGCACCATTGTTTACCTTTTTATAATATCTTTCTACGTACTCAGTGTTTAACAAACAGAAGCTCGGTGCCTTTATACTGGCGGACATTTAACTGTACTCTTTTCCTACGTTGTCACATTAGTTGTTTTTGTCATCTACTGCCAACAATACTACACCGGAGGAACAATAAAAACCTCCAAATGTGAACAGTTTTCACATTAGTTTCTGAGTAAAACAACTCATTAAACGTATTGCAGCACTGGCGGAGGAGGGAGGGGTTCGAGAAATCAATTTAATTAGAAAAAAGGAAGAACATTCGGTGTGTGTGAACTGTTATTAATGAACCCGTCGCTGGTGCTGATGAATGTTAAAATAAAGCGCACACACACAGAGAGAGAGAGAGAGAGAGAGATGGTCTCTCCCAAGTTTACAGCCTGTTGTCTGCCTGCGGCAGAGACTGGCTGCTTCTTAACGCCATGCTAAGCTGCTCCGGCACCGCAGAACAAAGAGCAGTCACATCCACTCTCCGGGAAAATCAAACAACTTTCTGCTCTGACTGCAGACAGACAAGCGGCCAATAAGTTAGCTGCCACTGCTAACTAACCGCTAGCCCCGCACCGTAACGCTATTATGTGGGTTTTTATTGTCGTTTCCTGATGAATATTGTACTTTAGAAGACATAAACAGAGAGGTCTTTCCTGACACGAAGTAACGAGACGTCCGTGTTGTTAGCACGTCACTGCGTGGATCGTTCAGCACACGGCTCCACGTTCACCGAGGACAATCGAAGTGAACCTAAAGCCTTGGTTGTGTCGGTCGCTAACGTTAACTACCGACGTGCGGCGGCTTTAGCACCATAGCGCCGTTCATCATTGTACAGAAACTACCCGGATGACATTCAGTACAGAGGAGAAGCCGGTTCGTATTCTGTACCATTAACACCGACACGCAGCCTCGTCTGTGTACATTTTTAAAAACACATGATAGTGGAAAAAGCTGGATAACGTTACCGTCCCCAACATCCGTGCATCCAGTCCACTCAGAGCCGAGCTTGTTGTCCCCCCTCACACACACTGAACAACCCAACTCCAGATCCGGAGTCCAGACCCTGCAGCTCTCATTGGGCTGAGACTCAGAGGCAGCCGAGCTCTCATTGGTGGACTGGCTGAACAACAGGCAGCAGGATATTCCCGGACCAGGACCTGGAACCGAGTATCCACACTCACAGTGAATGCAGCCACATGGAACCAGCCATAGTGACAGAGCCTGGTGATGTTGCACAGCTTCCGAGTTGACGTCTGTTGTTAATTAAATGTATTCCTTTACTTTGACATTATGCCGTAAAGAAGTAAACACTCACGCCCTTGTTTTTCAAGTTCTACTAAAACTAATTCTACTAAGTATTTTTTTAAACAGATCGAGATATTCAAACGTAACATTTTTCACATGTCTGTGAGTTTCGGTGATTGTGCTTGTACTTTGTGCTGTACAACGATTCTCAAAACTCTCAGAAATGACCTCCTTTGAACCGATCTATTGTATTTGTGATGATTTGTGCTTGTATAGTAGCCCGTTGTAAATGTTTCTCATCATATAAAACTTAGTTGAGGATTTGAGCCATCAACTGTAAAACCAATGTGGCAGGAAAAAAAAGCTTATTCTTGAGAAAGAAAACTGATCTGTTTTTTTCTTCTTTCTTTTTTCCAGTGGTCAGAAGAGACTGGCACTGAGGAAATGAACATGGCTGTACCGTGTGCCATGAAAGAAAAGGAAATGGTGAGACATTCTGGTCAGATTCCTCACAGATTCAGTCCTTGTAACTAAGAAGATATAGACCACAAGATAGTAGCAAAGCTTACTATTGTTAAACCATGAATAATCATCCTGCGAGCTGCTCGGCATTTTAATTTCTAATTAAATGCCTTAAAGAGATTGCACCTCCCCCACTCTGGCTGTACAGAACAAGGGGGCAATTATCCATGTTTTTTAGTTCTTTTAGAGTTTATCCTGACAAGTACAATGAAAATTGTGATTCAACACTGTCATAATTGTATTTCAGATATAGTTAAAAAAAAGTCAGAGGCCTTGTTTCCACCTGACATTTATTTCAATGTAATGTTTATTGACTTAATTACCGCTTTCTATTTGCACATGTTCCATATTTCACCTCTTCAAACCTTTACATCTATTGCACATACAGTGCTTTAACTTTTATAGCTCAGCAGGCAGCGCAGTGGACTGTTGTGAACTGTGAACCTATCATCTTTAGGTCACTGATTCAACTCTGGCTTGTAATAGAGTTTATTTGTTAAACTTCCCATCGAAAAATAATATAAATAAAAATAAAAATCCCTTTTATTTATGTGTCTTTACGACTAAATAGAAATGATTTTACCAAAGTTCTGTTGTGATGTCAACTGAAAAAACACATTTGCTATAAATTTAGCTTCATTAGCTAGAAAGACAAGTTCAAGTCCAAAAAATTAAGAAAAAAAAAAGTTAGGGTTAGTTAATATTGACTAGACAGTTGTGAAATGTGAGCCTCCTGGGTTTGAAATAAAAGTCCATATTTACAAAAAAACCCAAAACTTTTTATTTTGATATTTCAAAAGACAGGAATCAAAGGAACATCAATACAAACTGTATGAAATAAATGTGTTTCTTCTGCTATTTCTTTAACGCACATTACTCCCTGGAATTTGTGATTTCCTAAGCTTGTTAAATAACTCCAGGTACTGAGTCATGGTGTCGACAATCTCGGCCTGTGCGAACAGTCCTTCGGGTTTAGTTGCAAATACAGATGGCAACTCAGGAACACTGGGGCCCAGGAAGGACTGCATGAACTCCTTCATAAGATTCCAGCAGTCCCCTGGAACCACACAGGGACAGTACTCCACCTGAGAAGACACCGCAGTTTAGTCCAGTTACTGTGAAAAAAGTTTGACAGATTATAAACAAGGAGAACAAACCTCGACTGATATTCCTCTGGCACTCGAGCTCATTGTCACTGTACCAACTTTTATCAAGAAATCACAGTAACGATATCTTGAACCTCGACACTCCACCTTGTGTCCCTTAGCATTCTGGAAGTGACTTTTTAGTTTCACCATGAGGACATCGAAGTTTGCGTCAGCTACGATGCAGGGTCCTCCTTCGTACAGAGCCATGCAGCTTCGGGGAGTCTCTGAGTTGTGCATTACATATAGTAGTTTGGACGGCTGACCTGTACACACACACAACAGACATATTATTATATTGGTTAGTTAACCTACAAAGCCCAGTTAACTAAGTATTTAACGCATTGCCCTAATTACAAACTTTCACTGTTTTGGTTCTAATAGAAAACTCCAAAGGGATAATTACCGCTGACATTTGTAGCATGGTAGGTCTCACAGTCCACACAGAAGCTGCCCTGCTTCACAGAGCCCATCTGCTCCAGTTTCTTGTGCAGAACGTCGACTGTATGCTGCACACTCTTCCCCTCCGCCACAGGCACTTGACACACACTGCAGAAAGAGACATTAGAAAAATGGAGCTCAGATCTCATCAGTGACATACAGTAATATTATCCTACATAAATAATCTATTTTTGAGCAATATACTGTATCCAAATTAAAGTTAGTAGTAAACATAGCAGAAGATTTAATAATAATATTAAATTCCACTTCACCATTCAACGCACATTTAATTATTCTGTACATTTCTTACTCTGTATGCGTTACTTGTCACTTGAAATTCTTTTTTATTTGTTTATTCGTGTATTTTTTATGTTCTACCAGATGTCCCAAAATGTTTAAATCGATATAGCTTTGTAATTTAATCTTATTTAGCATTTGCCGATACATGGCTAAGTAACTTAAATTGTGAATCCTGTCTTAATGGAGACCGTTGTTCTTTCTTCAGGAATTGCATGCGTAAAAGATTGTCTTCACTATAACTTAGTATTAACAGGAATCCTAATACAAAGTTAGGGTCGAAACTATGAGTTGTTCCCGCTATAAATAATATTTGAATAAATAATCACAGCCATAAATGTAAAGCTATCGATGCTGCAGACGGGATTCAGACGTTTTGTTGCATTGTCTGAAACAAATAAAAGTATTTAAATACACAGGAAGTGTGGTCGGTCGTCGAGACTCCAAACTGGAGAAATCATGTATTTAAATTAGTATTAAAAATAAATAAAAACCAAAATGTAATCATCTCACCAAGTGACTCCCATTGACGCGGTTTGTAGTTACGCTGTTTACAGAGTTACACCGATGTTTTACTTCCGGGTTACGAAATAATTTTCCGGTTAAATTAAATCTGCACGTTTACGTTTTGTAATCTAATGAAGAAACTAATGTAAGAATCATTCATAGTTTATTATATATATTTAATAAAAGTTTTATTTGTTGTAAAATTAAAATATTTTGTGTTACGAGCGCAACCTCAAAACGTCACTTCCTTTTAGTATGGCCACCCGCACGTGTTAAAGATTTCTGTTTACTACAGTAGACGTTCGTCTTTATCTGGTCACTAAATAAAACTCTCCATTTTAGTGCTGTCAAGGCGCAGAGATGCCGAAAGTAAAGAAGTCAAAGGGAGAGAAAGCCGTCGGAGCAGCAGTGGGTCTGGCTGACCAGATCCTACAGACGGATACGATTCGAGCTCGAGGCCGGGTGAAGATCAGGGACAGCCGGGCAGAAAAAGAAGATGAGTACGTGGACGAACGTCTATCGAGGAAGATCTTGCAGCAGGCTCGAATACAACAAGAGGAACTTCAGACTGAACATGGTCAGGGCCCAGAAAAGAAGAAGATTCCAACTACGGTTCTCGGTAGGTACAACCATGATGTAATCTCTTATTTTGGGCAATTCTTTAACCAGGGACGCAGCTGCGGTAAACACCGAGGGGGGTGAATAATTTGAGAAACCTCCGATATTAAATGTATTGTTTATGAATAACAGGTACTTAGCAGAACTACAGAATCAAAAATATATGAGAAATCTAGCGCCACCTGTGACAGGGAGGGAGAAAGTTACTTGAGGCTTATTCCTTTTCATCAACAAACAAATTACTTTTCAAATTTGTTTTCAAGTGATACGTCTTGTATTATTACTTACAAAATAAAATGTGTTTTTATTATTGTAGCCTAAATACGAGTTGGACTCTTTGCTACCCTTTTGAGTACTAATTTGTTAACTAATCATTTTTCCACATCCTATAATATATCAGGATCCAGCTCTCAGGATGCAGATTCAGATGAGGAGTGGCCAGACCTGGGAACAGCAGGTGCTGCTGACATGGATGCTGAGTGTGACCACGAGGTCGTTGTTGATCCCAGTGATGAAAAGGCCATTGAGATGTTCATGAATAAGAACCCACCAGTGAGGCAAGTTACCCCACAAGTCTTATTAAAACTTCAACAGGACGACGGAGGAGCAGCGCTGACCTGTGTTTTATTTTGTGACTCGTGCAGACGAACCTTGGCTGATATTATCATGGAGAAGATCACAGAGAAGCAGACGGAGGTGGGAACGCTGATGTCAGAGGTGTCGGGCTGTCCGATGCCCCAGTTGGACCCAAGGGTAATTGAGGTTTACAGAGGTGTCAGTAAGGTGAGTTGTTCTAACATGTGCGCTCATAAACACACACAAGTGACACAACACGTTCTGTTTAAATGTGAACGGCAAATTAAATTGTTTTTTTTTGTTTGTTTTTGTGTGTACACTCATAAACAAGTAAAAAACACAACACGTTCTGCTGAAATGTAAACGGCTAATTAAATATTTTTTTTGTTTTTGTTTTGATGCAGGTTCTGTCAAAGTACCGCAGTGGTAAATTACCAAAGGCCTTTAAAATAATCCCAGCTCTTTCAAACTGGGAGCAGGTTTTATATTTAACTGAGCCTGAGACCTGGTCTGCTGCTGCCATGTACCAAGCCACGAGGTGAGGAAATATCCAGCCGCAGCATCACTTTAAAAGGATGGAGGAATTATTATATATGAACCTGACACAGCCTTGTATGTTTTGTTGTAGAATCTTCTCCTCTAATCTCAAAGAACGCATGGCCCAGAGGTTTTACAACCTGGTGTTGTTACCCAGAGTCCGGGACGATATAGTGGAATACAAGCGGCTCAACTTTCATCTGTACAGTGCCCTGAAGAAAGCTTTGTTCAAGCCTGGGGCGTGGTTTAAAGGTAAGACTTTTGAGTAAGTTGAGTAAAGGTGAAGAAAAGGCAAACCGCTGGGGACATTGTTCTGATTTTAGAACCGAATTTAAACAATAAATTGATATTGAGAACACAGACGATTCGACACAGTGTCCACAGTATATTAAGCGCCATTGGTTTTAACTAAAGGCTAAAATACGTATGTCTTTATTTGTCCATGATTCGATCATGGAATTTTGGCATTTTTTACAGCAGTAGAGGCGGTAGGTGTGCAGAAAATAAAAAAAACAGCAGTTTTAAAGGGAAATTGAGAAGAAAGCACGAAGATTAACATGTATGTAACATCAATATTATTATTATATTTATATTTAAACCCTCGTTTACATTTTAAAGTGTTGTTTCTAAGAAGACTGTAGCTCCTAGTCCCACCGGAAATGTGTGTTTAAATACAATATCTCCTTTCTTTCACCGACTCCAATTACCTATGTAAGAAAACGCCACTAGAGGGCAGTGTTGTTCACAAATGCACTCCCAGCTTCTACAGCCTATAGCATAGACGACAGAGGTTCAGCTCAGGAATTGAGAATAGATACAAACTTTTGTAACAGTGAGGTTCTATCATACAGTGTATACAGCAGTATATGCTTAAACATGTAATTAATAGCTAACATTTAGCATTATTAGCCATAATTATTATATTTATGATTGATTCAATTTAATTGCAACAAAATGTAAAACTGTCTCTGCAAGACCATTAGATTTATGTCAGTGCTGCCCCCCATCTCTTGGATCTGGAACTGTATTTATTTCTCATGACTTGTATTCAGTGACATTAGACTAATCACTTTTTACAAATTCAATTTAGACACTATTTGTGGTGATTATTTAGACAAATGAAGGGTTTCTTTTTCATCACATGGTTCTGATTTTTTCCCCTCTTTTTTTTCATTTAGTTACTCTGAGTATTTTTTTTATCCAAACTTAATATTTTTCAGGTATAAAAAAGCAGAGTTTAAAGACTGAGACTGAAGTCTTCTGTGAAAAGTCTGGAGAATGTTGTTGAACACGGGGAACATATGACTTTGTCTTTACTAAGTCTTCCCAAAACTGAATTCATCTGCACTACTGTACTATGTAATACTGCGCCCCTGTGTTACAGGTATCCTAATTCCTCTGTGTGAATCTGGGACGTGTACTCTCAGGGAAGCCATCATCATTGGGAGCATTCTCACAAAGTGTTCTATCCCAGTGCTCCACTCAAGGTAACCCATTTATACCAGAGTCAGCTCTGACAGTAGCTAGATAATTTTTTTTTATTCCACTAATTTGGTTTAATTAGGCTTGTTTGAACTGTGAAAAAGCTGAAAAAATAACTATTTTCTGCTTTACCTTCAAAGCGATATTCTCAATAATAACCTTGTTAAATAACATTCTCACCATCCTCAGCCCAGTGTGACTGGTGCTTTTCTTCTTGTCTTTTTCTACTTAAATTATTCAGAGTAAAATTAAAAAAAAAACGGGTTGCATAATATGGAAAGTAAAAAAAAAACAGGTTGCATAATATGGAAAGTTGTATAACATGCCACGTCTTTGTCTTTCAGCGCTGCTATGCTTAAATTGGCTGAAATGGAGTATAACGGTGCCAACAGCATCTTCCTGCGTCTCCTGCTTGACAAGAAATATGCCCTGCCTTTCCGTGTCCTGGACGCCTTGGTGGCTCACTTCCTTTCCTTCCGTAATGAAAAGCGTGTACTTCCTGTTCTGTGGCATCAGAGTTTACTCACCCTGGCCCAGCGCTACAAAGCTGACCTGGCCTCGGAGCAGAAAGAGGCAGTGCTGGAGCTGCTAAAGATACAGTCACACCCACAGATCTCTGCAGAAATTCGCAGAGAACTGCAAAACTCAGAGGCCAGGGATGTTGAGATCGGCCTTCCTGTCACAGTGGAAATGGACTGATGTTTCACTTTTGGTGTGGTGCATCCTGCTGCAAATGAGGAGATGGATTTGTGAATCCTGTCTTCATTATTCTCTGTTCAGTAAGAATAACAGGAGTGACTCATTACATTGTCTTTCACAGAGTTTCAGTTCAACTCTGTTGACCTCCTTGGATGAGAACCAACATTTAATGAGTATAAGTAAAGATAATGTATTTTCACATTATGATTCTCCCATGGCCTGACAACTGCCCTATGACACGGACATTAATGTATAAAGTACATTTGAATTAAAAAAAACAAACAATTCTTTGAAATGTAGTTTGTTTCTGACATTTTTTATGACATACTACATGGCATAGAGGGACTTCCTGTTTGGGTTTAATACTCCAAATTTTATTGAATATGAGGATTTTTTTTGTTAAAAGGCAATAAATAAATAAATAATTCATAAAATGAAATAATCTGATTTTTTTGGTTGATTGAAGTTTATTTTAAATGTGAACACCAAAATAATATAAAAAGACATTCAAACATAAGCCATGGAAATATATATTTGAAACGGAGTGAGAAGAAGTATAACTTATAGACTCTCAGTATGTGACGTACACAAGTACAGTATATGACTCAGTGGACCGTAAGTAAAACATCTGCTTATAACTGGGCGCACAGTTTTACAGTTTTGTATAGCAAACTAAAGAATTGTATGGTAAACATTTGATTATACGTAAATGAAGTGCAGCGTGTTTGAAACAGCAGCATTTATTCAGTCGTGTCGTTCATTTCTCTCTACTGTACCCAACCTTTGGTAGGTTCGTGCTAACGGCTAACCCCCGGCTAAAGTAAATTTGTGTCGTCAGATGGCGGATTGCGAGAAAGAGGAACTTAAATCCGAATTAAGGGAGAAAAACAACTGTATATCGGGCCACAACGTATTCCACCGAGCCGTCACCGACCCTGCAGTGAACGGCGACCTCCGAGCCCTGCGCTACTTGAGGGCCCAGGAGCTGCAGTGCTCGACTACTCCACACGGGGAGCGGGTGCAGTCCGACATTAGGCCGTACATGAGGAGATTACTGGCGATGTGGATGTTTCAGGTACTAAACGTGATACTCACTTCTACCAAATACTCAAAAACAATAAAGTTTTGGTGACGTTGGTCGAATACAAGAAGTACGTTAAACAACACAAAGTTTTTGTGACGTTGGTCGAATACAAGAAGTACGTTGCTTTTTTTGAACATGTAAAAATGTTTGTTAGCGTCGACCAGTGATCGCCGCCATATTGGCAACTATGCTAAGCTAAGCTAAGCGTATCACCTGAGCCCTCAAATGTCGCGATTACTGTCTGTTTTTCCCCCAGAACCTCGACCTATACAATATTAAAATGTAATTAAACACATACAAAAACGTAAAAGGGCGAATATCATGAAGGGGGAACAGTAAACTTTCCAAAAAACAAGAACAAAAAACGATAGTATATAAAATATAGAACAGTGTACCATAAAGCCATTGGCCCTGTGTAGTGTGTAAACCAAATTTATTTTCTGACCACTGAACAATTAAATTGGGTCTGATATTAAGTCCAACTCCCTATATGTTTCTCCAACCACAATAAATAAATAAAATAAATAAAAGGATCTTAGGGATCATTGACATTATTGGGCAGATGGAATATCATTGTGCATGCAGGAATAGAAAACAACAATTAATTAATCATCAGAAACACATTTTATTGCAACTTGTAGAGTTCCCTGTAAAATTTAAGTATGTTTTGACTCCCAGTAGTCTGTAGTCATTTGTAGACACCAATACATACAGCGGTTCATATACTATCTTTGTGTCTTACAGGTGTGTGAGGAGCAGAAATGTGAGGAGGAGGTGTTCCCACTGGCCATGCATTATCTAGACTCCTACCTAAGGCAGTTTACCATTGAGAAAGAAAGACTGCAGCTCTTAGGGACTGTCTGCATGTTCTTGGCTTCAAAAATGAGAGAGACAGTCTCCCTAACTGTAAACACCCTTTGTATCTACGCTGACAACTCCATCTCAGCCACAGACATCCTGGTACTGGTCCTGTGTGTTAAATATTCATAGATTTATATCACATATTAGTGTGGGACTTGTGCTGATGGTCTGTGTTTTTCTCCAGCAGTGGGAGATGTTGGTGGTGTCCAGATTGGACTGGTGTCTGGCCTCTGTGATTCCCTCCGACTTCCTGGAACCAATTCTTCATGCCTTACCCTTTGTTCAGCCCATGCACTTTCAAAACATGCGCAGGCATGTTCACTGCTACATTGCTCTGGCTGCCACTGGTAAGTCACACAAGTGAGTTTCCAACTCATCACAGTGTCACAGTCTCCACACATTTAGAGCTACAGAAGTGACAATATATGAAGACTGGTACAAATATTGTTTTACTCGGTCAGAAATGATGACAATTTTTCTTTCGGGTACCAAGAGACCCAAGGACGACTGATGAAACATCTATGGCAGGCATAGGCAAACTAAGGCCCGGGGGCGGCCTGTTCAGCTTTCTAATCCGGCCCGCTGAACTTGTCCAAATTATATAATTTAGGAGCAATGCCCACTTTTTCCTCATAGATGGCGTAAAGAAGCAAAAAAAAAAGAAGGGGGTTTTTAGCATTTTTGCCTTTGTGCATGACTTCTACATGTCATTTATCTAAGTTCACACAAACGCTCCATCTATCTGCTCCTGACCCACCCCCCACCATTAAATTTAAGGACAATTGTTGCCCGCAAGTCAAAAAGTTTACCCACGCCGGTTCTATGAGTTTTTAACCACAGAAACCACCAGTTGTCAGTCGATCATTTCAGAGACAGAACGCCGACTTGTTGTTCTTCTGTATTGTCTGTTTTGAATGACTTCTGAACGAGTATTCAGCTGGCTAATTTCCCACAAATCTCTTTGATGCTGCCTAGGGCAATAGCACACAGTCGGTCAGTGTCGTTACAGACGCACAGTGACATTACAGCCTGTGAAATTACGATAAGTCCTAGCACCCGACTTTGTAGCCCATTCAAAAGGTGTCTGGGAAAGGATTGAATGGCAAACCGTTTTTGTCTGACTGTTCCTCCTGCCTCCAGCAGTTAGGATTTAGTGTCAGATCATATGGTTTTTGGGAAGCGCCTGCTTTTAAAGTACTTCCTTTTGTCTGTTGGGGTGTGTCCGCAGTAGTGGCATCCATCTGTCTTTTTGCCTTTCAACATTTACTGACTTGTAAAGCTATTTGAATGGAATTAGTACAATGGACTTATAACAAATAATAATAAAATAATCATTTTAATTTACAGTTATATTGTAGTAACTGTTGTATCTACATCAGTCTGTTATGTGCACATTTTAAGGTTAAGCATTAATAATAATATTTGATTTATAATACCAGTCACTTTCACATTTTTTCCTCAGACGACAGGTTCTCCGTGTTCATGCCCTCCACTCTTGCATGCGCCTGTATCAGCCTTGCTGTGCAGGGGGTAAAATCAGCAGACGCTAACACCAGTCCTGAGATAGTGACGAAGTTTTTGGCTGACCTCCTGTGCATCGATCTGGTAAGGCTAATGTTTAACTGACATCTTTTGACTTTGACCTTCTGTCAGAACCAACTGGTATGAATGTGATTATTTTGTCGAACGTCTCAGGCAAACACAGTCTCATAAAGAGTAGAATATGTGTGTTCAACAAAGCAACTCTGCATTACAAATGTCCAGCTTTTATGAAGGTCTGTACTGTACATCATTAGGATCTGAAACTTGAAGGTATAATACAGAGGTTTGTCCATAAAAAGAAACTATACATTTATATAAACGTCACCTGTTATTGGCCAGAAGTGTATGACCTAAAACTAGGGATGTAACAATGCACTGAACTCACCATACGATGAGATTCACAAATCTTTGTTCATGATACAGTTCAAAAAATGGTATCTATACAGAATGAGCTCCAAACAAATAATGACCAAATACAGTGGTCTTATATATGGAAAAAGAATGCTAAATACCGTGGGCAGCTGAAATGGTCTTGTGTACCTCACAAACTGAAATTATCTTAAAAAAATGTATCTTAAGAAAAAAATAATTACAGAATAACTGCACATCACCAATAAAAAATGTATCTTAAGAAAAAATGAATTACAAAATAACTGCACATCACCAATTATCTTTTTTTTATTTAAAGTCAAACTGGTCAGGTCTTATTTACCTCCCTAACTGTCAATATATTAAACAACAAAAGAATATAAAAAAAATGTTTTTTCTTGGACAGAACTCCATCTGTCTCTGCTGTGAGCAGCTCAGGAGTCTGCTGGAGCACAGCCTACCCTCCTGTTTTAGGAGCGGCAGTAAAGTAAAAACACGTGGCTCAGAGATCAGCTACACCCCTGGTGACTCTCAGCATGTTGCAGCCACACCAAAGAATTTACCTTCCTCTGTCACAAACAAGAGTGGAAGAATGGAATAGAAAAATAATGGAAGAAAGAATCGAAATACTGGACAGAAGTTTATTTTGTAGTTAGGACCAGTGTGTAATATTGAAGGTTAGAGTGTAACAATATTACGTTCCTACAGTTTTTTTGCAACCTCAGCTCCGTCTGTACACTGTTCTCCCAAGCTTTAATAAATTGCATTTCATGTCACATGTCAGAAACAACAACGGCCAGAGATTTACTTCTTATTCTTTTTATTGCATGTATTTCCTCATACCGATTACAACGACATGGCAGATCACGTGGTCTTACAAATGATAAACCAAGCAGCTTTGGCAAACAAGGTATTTATGTCAGTCATAGGAAAAGAAAGAACAAGGAAGTCCAGCATGCATCGTGTCTTTCACTCGATGCCCAGTGTCTCACGATGGTAATCAGCAAAACACTTATCAGTAATTATGGGAAATTCCAGTTTCAATTACCATCATGCTGCTAAGACATTTTACCAAAAAAAGAAAAACAAATTTATGCACAAAATAGGTCAAATGATAAATTAAGTTAATGATTATCAAGTATTAAAGGTTTAAGCAAGTATGATTTTCCAGGCACTGCCTTGAATCTCTTAACAGTTTATACAAAAAGAAAAAGAAAGAAAACGATGTAGCCACATATGGCCACCAGGGGCATGAGAAATTACAGGAAAAATAGAAAAAAGAATTTGACAAGTTAATCCAGATACTGTGACAAAAAAAATTAAACCTGATATAATTTTAGGTTTTACAGTTCCAGTGACCTGGATACACTGCGGTTCCGCAGACTTGAGTACAGTGTTCACTTTCACCTGATCTCAATGAGTCATGCTTGTAATTGAGATGAAAGGTTACGCCTGCCGCATCACACGCAACGCAAAGCAGTTCTGTGGAGCTCAGATTAATTACGGTTTGCGGCGTCACAATTCCTGATTGTTTTTTTCCAAATTTAAAAAAAAATGATGACATCATTTCCGATTCCCCCGCTCCACCTTTACAGTGAAACTGCCGACCGCACACATGTAAACAGTGTGAGGGCCCGGTGGCAGGAGCTGGTTCTACCTGCTACTCCTGTCATGACTCACATCTGCCATGATTATTATTCAAGTCATTATCCAAATCACCTAGGAAAAACAAAAACAAATGCTCTCTGAGAGGGAGGTGAGGTCACTGTAACAAACAGCGCGCTGCTTGGCACCATTCCCAGTGCTTTAAATTGAAACATAAATCAGAAAAAATCTTTGGTTTCAACAAAATGCCGTTTTCAACGTCATGACATTTGGAATGAAATCTGACTGGATACAAACAGGAGATGATTGACTATTTACATTGTCATAAAGGCACCGTCCAACTGCAGCAGAATAAGGCACATATGTTTCTCTAAATTATTTTTACTCAAGTGTCAAAGATTTGTCTTTGTTTAGGTCGATGACATCAGCAATAATTCAATAATACAATCTTAGGTTTAAGAAGAACTCTCTTCCCTTTTTGGCTACGTGCAATTACCGTGGGTTGGCCAAAATGTTACCAGGCAATAACAGTTTCCCATGATGCACTTTGACATTCATGTCTTCAGTAGTTAACAGACATTTAAAAATACTGGATTATAAAAAAAAAAAAATTAAAATGTTCTCAGCGTCCCAGACCGGTCTCTGGTCATTAGCTCGCTGCCGAGCTCCGTATGACCATGGCCTGTTTGTAGGCCTCCGTGACGTTATCACAGTCGGTGATGGAAAAGGTACTGTCGGCCACCCCTGACTCATAGCACCGGTTCCATGGCCTCAATAACCCATCCCCGAGAATCCTGTCCTCGTGAATGTCCAGCAGGTTGTCAGCAGAGATGCAGCCTCTCATGCTCGACTTGCCTGGTTTCTCGATTCGAGTTGGGGCTCCCATACGGTCTGGGAGATCCAGCTGGTCGAAGGACTCCGAGGACAGAATGCTGTCCTCACTGATTGCCCCACTTGGTCTCGACCTCACACCCCCCTGAGGTAAAGAAGGCGCCAGATGATCAAGAGAGCCGAACTCTTGCAACCCCCCTGAGGAGAATTTGCCGTTTCGCTTCAGGATGCCCTTCTTGTAGGTGGGGGCTGAAGGGCAGTCTTTGGATTGTTGCACCCAGCCAGAGTCACTGTTCTCAGGAGAGGAGGAGTAGTATCCCGACTCCTGCTCTGTTGGCTTCTTCAGAATACCTTTGCGTGGAGCTGCAGTAGCCGACGGATCAGTGGACGTAGCAGATAAACTGAGAACGTTCTGAGGCTCTACCGGGACCGCAGCTGGAGATTCACTCATCACTTTCTGTTTCGAGCTGTTCCGTCTTTTCAGAATACCCTTGGAGGGGCGACTGTCTGAGCCGTCTTCATGAACCGTCTGTAAGATGTTGTTTTCCTTCCGCGACCTCCGCAACGAGCGCTGTCGGATCACATCTCCTCCACTGGCCTGTGAACGGAGCAGGCAGCGCACTTTGGAACCGTTCTCCAGTAAAGGCCTGGTTGTGCGACGCAGCCAGCTAGCAACACTGGCCATCCCTGTAGGTTGTGATGTTGTTGTGGAGGCCGGAGAGGAGCTTTGATCTGCCAGGCTGCTCTTTGTTGCTTCCAGTAATGGCTGCCGGTAACCCCAGTTGAGCCACCAGTGTCCTGCGATCTCTTCTATCGTAGCTCTACGATCTGGGTTAACCATCAGCATCCAGCGGATAAGGCCACAAGCATCTGAATGGGGGAAAAAAATCATCAGAAAAACCAAAGTACATACCCGGAAAAAATACATCATCAGAAAAACCAAAGTACATACCCCAACTGCCATGTACCAGAAATGAGGTCCCTCCTAAAGGAACTAACCTGATGGAGTTTTGGGTTTCCGGTAGTTTCCGGAGCTGATCTGTTGAACCAGCATTTTGTGATTGTTTCCGTCGAAGGGCATCGTGCCGTGAACCAAAGTGTATAACAAAACACCAAGAGACCAAGTGTCCACCTCTGGCCCGTGATATGGTCGTCCATTGACAATCTCTGGAGATGCATACAGGGGGCTACCACAGTAGGTCTGAAGATACTCGTCACCATGGTAGAGGTTGGACAGGCCAAAGTCAGCAATCTGTCAAGATTGAAAAATATTTACGATCAGGATTATTACATGTAGAAAATATCCAAACTTCCTGTATCACTAACCGTACGTCAGTGAAAACAAGGCATTTGTCTAGATAGTGGGAATATTGTCCCGTTTAAATGTGGAACACTCTTATAGGCCCTTATATAACACTAGGTCACACTTCAAGTCCCAATGACGCCCTGGGGCTGACTCTCAGTTTGATTTGTGAGATTGTAATTTTTCTAAATAATACTTTGTAACAATAACAACTGCACTTTTTAAAATACGTTTCTTTATACAATTAATATGTAGCTTGAAAAAACAAAACAAAACTTCATCAGTATGAAAACAGAGTTAGCAGGATGTGTTTCTCCAATGTTTACCTTGACATTCCCGTTGCCATCTAGTAAAATATTCTCCAGTTTCAGGTCCCGGTGTACTATTCCATTCTAAGAAAAAAAGAAGAAGGAAAAATATGTTTTGTTTACTTCTGTTTTGATACATTTTTTTACATAATATAAATCTATTCGACACCGGTTTAAGTCAAAGAAGTTCCCGTTACATAAAAAGTATTTGTCTTCACTGGGTCAGAACACATTCTTATCTAGTAGAGAATTTTTTTTTTTTCTCCCTGGTTCATCGGCCATGTTTCATTGTCCTCGCTCTGCAGGGGGGAATGCCTGTGACTCAGGCAGCGTTTCACATTGTTTTTTCTCTAAAAAATGCAGGTCAGCTTTTCCACCGTGTGTACGCGGGCGCTTGTTTTGGCAACAGACATTCTTTGCACGGCCGTGTCACGTGTCGTTCATTGGCCATCCAGAGCAGGGTCTTCAGACCTTCGCTGATAAAAATGCATTGTAGTCTTTGCAGCCGTTTTTTACAAACGGAACATAAAATATTTACCCAGACAACAATTCACTCACTGAGAGTGAGCGCAGACAGATGGTTTACGACCCGACTATTCCCTGTGTAAATGTGGTTGTGCAAACAAAAATCTACTGCAAATTGCTGAGGAGTACACAATATAATGTTCCCCTGAGGAACAAATGATTATAAATGACTGTCTGTGTGTGTGTGTGTGAGATAACTGGCCTATAGTTGCCAGCTCTTTACAGACGCTTCATTTAACCCAGCACTCACACAGTTATTACACATTATATAACTCCACGGACGACAACCAGCCCAGCTTCCTGCTCAAAATTTGTTTTAGTCGTGGTTTAGCAGCCAGTCGTGTTTGGACAAGATCAACACACGATACTCTGTTACACCATATAGAAGCAACAACTCCCTCCCCCCTCTGCACTTCCTGCAGGTGAAAATGATGAGTTCAAAACCATCAACCAAAGCAGTGAAGTGGGATGTTCAGCTGTACCTGGTGGCAGTAGTGCACCGCTGACACGATCTGTCTGAAGAAGTGACGCGTCTCCCGTTCAGAGATGCGTTTCTTGTCACAGATGTGGTCGTACAGGTCGCCTCGGCTGGCGTACTCCATCACGATCACAATCTTGTCCTTGTTTTCAAACACTGTTAAAACAAACAAAAAAGATATAAATATAATTATTACTATTCACTATCCCGAGTGTTTCTTCAAAAATATATTTAAATTTCTACAAGGATAAAAAGATAGAAGTCCATTATAATAGGAAGTTGACCTCTTTAACAGAGTTTTTTTGTAAACCTTGTGAGAATTATTCATAACACATGTTGGATTAGTCATTCATTTTCTACAGCTTAACCCACCCTAACTACTTCCTCTATAGTGTGGCACGAAATGACATTTCCAGTGTAATTTCATGTTTTTATTATTATCTTATATATGATATTAATTTCCAGTGTAATTTCATCTTTTTATTATTATCTTATATATGATATTTTCTTATTATTTTAATTTTATTATATTTGTAATTTAATGTTTTAAGAATTTACTAGTAAGTTAGTCTAAGTTTTAATTATTATTTCTGTGTTGATTTCATTCATTTTGCCAACCTTTATTTAATTTTTTTTCTTTTCTTATATGACAAACCTAGGAGAGTCCAATGCTAGTTTTCACTCATCTTCTGACTTATAATTAAAAGCTAAACTTTAGCTAATTTTGTTATAGTATTTGGTCTCGTCATAAAGTTTTGTTTTTGTCTTTAAGTTTTAATTTTCTTCACAAACTACCTGCTATTTTAGTCTGGCACTTTCTAGTCCGGCAGCTTATATTTCAGATTGTATTCGTACTGATGTTCCTTTGAAGAGTGCAGAGATGATTGTTGATCTAGATGAGTTTTATTGAGTCGGGAGTTTTGGACAGACGTGTAGTTTCCTGTACAAGCGTCTCATTGGCTCTCATTAGGCTGAATGAGGCCCAGTGATGCTGTGGTGCAAACACTCAGTGATGACCATCTCATCAGGCATGAGGGACAGTGGGAGGATATGATCTGTGCTTATGTAACCTGGCAGCAGTATGCACAAAAGACCTTGCGTGACCAAGCTGTGGCTCCCTAACAGAGACCGATTGAGGCACGTTTTGCTTTTTTTTTTTTTTTTTTTTCCCCCATTAAAAAATTTCATTCTAACATGTGAGGTAAAACAAAAGGTTTAGAACATTTTACCTTCATATATGGTGATGATGTGTGGGTGACAGAGTGACGACATGATCTCGATTTCCCTGCGGATGTGAACCAGGTCTTGCTCATCTTTGATCTTCTCTTTTCTAATGGACTTAATGGCAACCTGGAAAAAGAAAATAGTATTTTAGTTTAGGAGAAGAATAACAGAAATGTAACTTAGTCTTTAACAAGAGAAAAAAAAAGCATTTTAGTTTAGGAGAAGAATGAAAGAAATGTAACTTAGTCTTTAACAAGAGACTAAAAATGTTTTTATATTTAAGACAACGCTTTTGACTCATCAATGACAGGAAGATAGGAAATGAGCAAATACGTGACAACAACGCGTTACACAACGATGTGTTGTCACGCTAAGGTTTCAGGGCTTTTTTTTAATGTAATTGGGTGATCGTAAGTGTTCCACTGTTCTTGCATAACCTTATTACAATAAATAAAAAAAAAATAAAAAAATGGGGAACATGCGCAGTCGTTGCGATATTTCCATGACACACTGCCATAAATTAGTTCTATTGAGTACAACTAAACAGAAATGCATTCTTGTGACGGGAGAGAAAAAAAACAAAACATTGTTGTGTTGTTTTCAGTAAGGCACAGGAGAGGCTGGGTCAGGTATTGTGTTCCGTAAGAACACCTTTTGTCAGCTGTTATGTCAGCCTGGACCGTACAATGAGGTACTTTACATCTCCGTAGTGTCTACTGGGATCAGCATTCACAGCTCTGTCATATTATACAGGATTATCCCAACGTACGACCGGATGATGCGTTTGTCTATTGGAGGCCCAGATGCCTGGGATTCCTTCACCGTTCACCAAGTGCGTCATCAGTCTAGCGCAGGGTTAAAGGCTGCCGTGAGGCTCCAGCACGGGCACGGGTGGTGCTGGGGTCTCCGTGTTTGCTCACCTCTCTAAACCCTCAAGGCTACAGACGGGAAAATGAGTAAAGCTCTAACTTTGTCATATCAGTTTCAACACGCCACAGTCGCCTGTCATTAGTCACCGTCTGGTCCAGACGCCTCTTCGAGTCAGCAGAGTTTTCACACCACACAAACCCCTTTTCCTGATTCTGGGAACTCGAGGTTTCCTGGGTTTGTTTGCATAGCTGTCAGTTGAACAGAGCTCACAGTCAAGATGACTTCACACTCCTGTGAGGTTATGGCAGAGTTCGTAGTGCAGTCTTGGTCGGCAGAGGCCGGTTCTACGCACTAGGCAGCCGTATGCTGATATCGTTGACATTTCGCACAGTCGTACTGTACAAACACATCCAAACCGTACGGCGTCGGTGCCTTTGTACAAACTACGCACGCTCTGCTCGAGAGGAAGTGCAGTCTGGTTTTAACATATATACGTTGCATTTTTGAACCACAGAAATATGTTGCTCGAGTGGCAATAGGACATTCAAGAAATACCTGATTAGGAAAATACAGTTGAGCGTCAGGAACCGCGTTACTTTCATTTTGATAAAACTAAAAGCCTGACTTCTCATAACGTCTGTGTTTGACTCAGTGTCTAACCTTCAGTTAATGTTGTTTTTGTAAAGTTTTTTGTGTGTATGTTATATTTTTTACTACGTTGGATGTTTTTGATTTTTCTCATTTAACGTCTACATTTAGTTTTTACTACTGTTGTGTTCTGTGTTTTTGTGTTGACTAGCAGCACCGCAGGCACATTTCTGCCAGATAATAAAAATAATCAGCCCTGAGGGTCCTGCAAAAAAAACCAAGTCTACACGAATAAATATTTTAGTCAGTGGAAAGCGAGTTTTAACTGAAGACTCCTGCTATTTTTAAGAAGCATGGTGTTTTTATGAACTAAAGAAAATTATCTAACAATCGCTCCTTTATCCAGGCAGCAGCCGTAATCGTAAAAATTAACTGCTTGTTATCTAGGTATAATGGGGAAAACTTCTACCGGTAACCAATGATTATTTCCCAAAATTGTTGTAGGTATAATAGGGAAAACTTCTAACCAATGATTATTTCCCAAAATTGTTTCAGTGACTATTCTCAGGTTTAGTACAAGTTGATGTCAACTTTTTTTAGATTAAGATCCAAATGAAAATAAAGTAGAACCGAACAGACGACGGAACTCTAACAAATAAACCTGCAGCTTTTCCACAAAGCATTCCTGTTGACTAACGAGGCATCCATGTCACTCTGACCATGAGGTCAACTCTGAATTAATCTACACTGAACCCCAACAGCAACACCACCATCACCACCCACTTAAATGTGTTACATAATCTAAAGTATGCTGTTGGACAATGAGGACAGCTGTAATGCAGCAGCTCACGCAAGACGAAGCCATCCCTGGTGTCACACCCCGAGTCAAATTACACAGCTTCATCCATTATGTTGCTAATGCTAAAGTGGACAGATAAAAACAAAGACCAATGACGGCTTCTCCTGTTTCCATTTGACGCCCAGTGCTGTTTACGGAAATGTTACACGAGTTAATGCTTCAACAAACATTTTTTGGGGGGGAGAGGGCACGCACCTTTGGTATGTTGCCTTTACGGATAAATCACAGACACCAGACATATCCCTCAGACTAAGCACAATATCACCAAGTCGTGTGAAGGCAAGACAAGACTGAACAAGAATCACAGGTTGTCTGTTTGTTTGCTGCACCTACAGCAGGGGAAATTCCTCACTCGGCCTCTCTTCGTGTCTAACGACTTTCTTTCAAAAGTGAAACAAAACAGTAGGATTTAACAAAGCGCATTCCTGATGAAGGTGATCAGCGGTCGATCGCAACAACAACAAAAAAAAAATCACCTTGTGTTTTGTCGGTGATGTATTAGTGATGTATTCGCTGCGGTTTAAAAAACATTGGACTTCCTAATTATTGTCATATACTGTATTACTTTGACACCAGACACAGGCAGAACTATTTATGAAGATTGTTATCAAACCGTACGGAGCAGATTTTTGTCTTTATGAGTTTATAGAGGCGTTATAAAGCTAGAAATTCTTGCTGGAATGTAGTGCTGAGAGACACTGTGGTTTTATTGGCCACTTCTCACCTCCCTTTCAAATACTTATCTCTTTTCAGGTTGTATTTAAATGCCTCCCATTTCCCCTAAGGTCACAGTGAACTGGAATCCACCTGAAAGGCTATTTGTAACTTCCCCTGTTGCTTTCAAAACTCAAGAGGAAATTTACCTAACTTCCCGACTGATTACTCCACCCAGGGACTAAACTCATTCCAAAGAAAACACTTGACCCCTTATGTTTCTATAAGGGCCATAAAAGGTGATTACATAAAACACTATTGTGCAGGGAGAGAGTTACGGGAATTGATAAAATACTTTCACTGATTATACCATAGTCATAAACCTGAATATGATCAGCCGCGAAACCACTACTTTAAAACACCACTGAAGATTTTTTTTTTAATACATGATCTAAATGGTGGAGGCAGAAAACTTAGAGAAAGCTAATAAACTGTTAATATAAACATTTTTTTGTGATCAGCCGCGAAACCACTACTTTAAAACACCACTGAAGATTTTTTTTTTAATACATGATCTAAATGGTGGAGGCAGAAAACTTAGAGAAAGCTAATAAACTGTTAATATAAACATTTTTTTGAACTATTACATAGATAAATGTTCACATCATTGATGCTAGCAAATAACCTCAAAATGCATTTTTTTGTAAACAAAATGTTGTCACTAGCAACACAGTTCTTTAACAAATCATTATTGAATTCTGTACATACATAATGCAATTAAAGCTATTACAAATAGTGGCATTTTGTAAAACTGTTTGGTTACTTTAGCAACACTACTTGTGTAATAGTAGTCATCTGTCAGGTGTCCAGCTCTTAATATAGTTTTTAAAAAATATATTTGACTGTTAAAATTGCAGTTAATAGTGTTGTAACTCTCAGTGACTGATACCAGGACACTGTAAGGCTGATGTGCAGCCTTTAAGTCAAAGCAGGGACAAACGCACACCTCCAGCCTAAAACAAACACTGGACTCTTAGGCAAATTTGACTTTGTTTACTGAACCACACACTGCGGGAGCAGCAGCAGACATGTTTAAAAGTTCATACACTCATATGTCACAATAGTAAGACTGATGATGATTCTACTGCTGTGACAATGTAAAGTCAACCTGTGACTCGATGGAAAAAAAAAGAATCTCCAGACGAAAACTATGTGATTTCAGTCTAGTAATCTAGTAGTTTCAGTTGTTGAATGTTAGCTCTGTTGTGTGTAAATCTGAGAGTTAAAAAAAGGAAAAGAAACACCCATTGAAAGCACCTGAGCTACAGCCAGTGTGTCACCTAAAAATAGCTCCGTATCTCTAACTTGCAGTTGACCAACCGGACAGGAGAGCAAACACTAGGCTGCAGACGTGGGCTCTCGACTGATAAATGGTTATTACCGTAGGATGAATAACAAATAAATGTTTGCTGTTCTTTACTCACCAGTCTCCCGGATCTTTCCCTGGCCTTCTTCACTTTGCCGTAGGTTCCTTTGCCGAGTGTCTCCAGGAACTCGTACCTGTGCTTCAGGTTGTGTTTGTGGTGATGCCTCTTCACGGCTTGCTTCTTCACCGGCACCTGACACGCAGCTCCGCCGCCACCCACGGTGTGTTCCTCCGGCCAAACTGTTTCGACACACGGTTGAGAGTTCGTCAAGAGAAGACGAGAAGCAGCGGGCAAGGAAACATCCATCCTGGCCGAGTTTCACGAGTCTTTTTCCCTTTTTTCTTTCTTTCTTCTTAATGAAAATAATTCCCTACTCTGTTTCCCCGGTTTGCAGTTGTGTTCACCTGCATTCCTTCTCTTGTCAGACCGGGTTTGACTCTGGAGGACGGTTTGCTCTCCCTAACAACAAGGCGAAAGAAGGTGTGAGCAGAAAAATTACAGAAAAAATAGAAAGAGATCAGCGTCTGTTACTCTCTCTGCTCTGAAACCTACTGACTAACAGCAGGTACACCGCCAGACGGACACAGTGCACACGCTGCTGCTGCTGTTGGAGCTACACGTCATTGTCTGGGGGGCGGGAAGGAGAGGTGAGTTTGATTAAAACATGTGGTCCTGCCGGCTGCGTTTTCAGTATACGCCTTTAGTCTTTAGGTACGTTTTAATGGTCCACATATGTAGGATATATTTTAAAATGTTTTAATTATATATTATGTATATGTGAAATTCCTTATGGATCATTTTATGGCATTATATTCTACTAATTTATCCTCAATTACTACATACAAAAACGACATTATTTTCAATTATTTATCTCCGTCACGTATACACAATCATATAAATCATACACAAACTACCGAGGCGACGCCATCACAACCAATGCCATGGGTAATATGATGTTGAAATTTTTATTTCATTTTATTTCATTTCAGTTCTACATATATACCACAATCGCCACATCAGGGTTTTATTTCAGGTTTAGGTTGCGAAAAAAAAAAATCAAATTTGTAATACATGCTCCATTCACAATGACGCCTGTTTACGTAAAATGACACAACACCGACCTCTTGCGTACATACCTCGAAAATTACAGTTATATTAACTAAACTGTATTAACTATTTCCAAAAAGTGTTCAGACAGATATAGAAGACAATCGGTACCATAATTCAAATTAAAATGCATTAGCAGTAATGCTTTTTTCAGTTTTTCAGTTCAGAATTTACCCGTATTTTTAAACCCATACATAAAATTAAAAATCAATCATTCGAATAACATTTGCATTTTAACACAACTCATTCTGTTACACAAATCAGTCATTCGAATAACATTTTCATTTTAACACAACTCATTCTGTTACACAACTAAAAGGGAAATGCTTTTTCGTTTTCGTGTCCGCACCGAAAAAAGGTAACACATTTAAAATTAAAAAAATAAATAAGAAAACACTATGTTCTAAAAATGAAAAAGCATTTCTGCAAATGCATTTTAAAGTGAATTATGGTACCGATTGTGTTCCTTATGTTCGCCAGATATATAAGAAACTATTTAGAGTTTAAGTTCAAATCAGGAGTTGCTTTACCGATTGGAGCCACTAGAGTTCAGCATTTAGTCAGTACGTTGATAAAACAGGTGACTGTTCCTAAACAGGAGATTTTTCCAAAGACATTTTTTTCCAGCTGCATTTGAGATGCACATGTTTCAGTCCATCTCAACAACTTAGATACGTGTCCTAATTGTTATTTATATAGTATAACAGCTACAATTTATGATTGCTTACGAAACTATTAGCAATAAAGATTTTGTCAGGAAAGACTGTGGTTCCAAACAACACACCAACTACATTTCCTTTTATGCAACATGAAGAAGTTCGTAATGATGTCACATTTGTTGTTGTGCTCTCTGAAACCACAGCTTTCACACCAGTAAGATAAAAGCCCCGCTGTATTTCACACATTATGAAACATTTCCTGCAGCGGTTGAGAATATATTTAGCCATATTAGAGATAAGAGCTGCAGAATGCCTACTGTTCAGCGTTATATCCAGAGGTTCTACAAACACATACAATGTGCTTATTGTTGCCATTTATTTTAAGAAATATATTGTAGGTTTTTATATAACTGGGCCTAGTGACATGAACGAACATACCTTATTTTTTTACATTAAACATTAGACCATTCTAATAATATACAGCTTCATATATTTTGTTTTTTTTATTTTAAACATGGGCAGAAACAGCTCTAGTGTGTTGCTAAATATATACATTTTTGACTGTAACACAACACTGTCTGCCTCCATTTATGCTTTGTTAGAATATGATGAATATTGTGTATTTAAGGACTTTTTTTATTACAATTGTTAACTGAAGAACTCGTGACCTCCCCAACTCTCCCCCTGCTGACCCTCTTAGGTTTGTGGACCTATGTCTTTAAAGCAGCACCTTTTATTTTTCCCCTGTGGGCATGATGTTGTTATGACCAGAACAGCCAGTAATGTGATGTTTATCAGCTGCACGCTCTGTTTTGTTAAACTTAAAAAAAAATCACATCATGTTACTGGAACATAACAAAATCGGTTCCTATGTGGACCTCATTTAACGGACATTGAAAAAGAATAAGCTTCAGCTTTAACAAGAATGTTTTGTTTTGTTTATCCACTGCTGCTGCGTTACACGAACTTCCTACATTTCCCAGAAGGCAGTGCGTCACGCTGAACCCCGCCTTTTCCTCCCTCCAACTTTTGTCTGCTCGACTTTCTGTTGTTGCAGTGATTTGATTGCTCGGTCTCTGCAATGTAATTTCTCCCGGACACACCTCGCCGTGCGACACCACCGACTGTCCTCTTCATCTTCGCCCACCCCAAAAAGCGTTCAACACAACTGCCTGGTGTCAACGTCGCAGTCCGGGGTTGGAGTGTGGACGATGTCCGCTGGCGTCTCCGGGCCAGAGTCGGCGTAGGAGGATATTTTCCCACGGAGCCTGGTCGGGAGAAGTCAACTTTTTTTTTTCTTCCCGTTGTCATTTACAACCAGCGGACAACGTCGAGGCCAACTGGAGTTGCCTCTCTGTGTGGAGCTGGCACAGTCGCAGTGAGCCGAGAGAAAGGCGATGCGTGTCGTGCCAGGCCAAGACGAGGACGGATGTAAGATGTCTCTAAGCTAAGAGTGGCGCTCACGTTAGTTGGGACGAAGCTAGGTCTTGAAAAAAAACATGATTTAGTTCGTTCACAAACGTCGGTGGTTTAAACATCACTTGGAATCGTTTGTGTGATATTTATCAAACGCACCCGTCACACTGCTGCAACCGAGACGGGCGGTGCTTATCGGATACCGCTGTTCAAACGAGATGCTAAAAAAGCGTTGACTTCGTCATACAACAACAAATTGTTAAACTATAACGCTGTACATAAACCACAGGATGCCAGAAGCCAAATGCACAGTCCTGATTGGCTGACTTAAAAAAAAAGGCAGAAGAGATTGGCGTGATTCCGCATAGTGAGAAGCTAATGTTTACCGACTACTACTGAATAACAAATCAGCCAGGTAACAAGTTTATAATGCTGGGTTTGGATCACACATGACAACCCACTATTTTAGCACATAAAGGAAACAAAAAGGAGTGATAACTTGACAATTAACGCCATCAACACAACAACAACAGCAGCGGCGGCGGCGGCTTTTGTTTACCATGGAGGGGAATGTACAACCACAGAGAAGCAACCCTTTATCCCGGGAGCTGACACGGACATTCAGCAGCTACAACAAATACTCCACTCAGCTGAAGAAGAACCTGAAAGAAACCAATGTTTTTTTCCGGGAAATACGACAGAACTACAGCAATAGCTGCGCCTCAACCATCAGCTCTGACGCTGCTTCTTTGGAGGCAGGTAGGTGAACAAGGTGCAGGGGAACATGGGGAAACAGCTTGTTTGTCAATGTGAAACCAATGCAACACTTGTTTTACATTAACAGCAATAATAACGTTGTTTTTGTTTTTAAAAAAGGTACACCTAATTATGGTTACTAGTGGAGAACATCATTGCTTGAGCTAGCTTGTGTTTATCAAACATGGTGGACCTAAGCAGTTAAAAACACAACCAAAATAGTATCCTGCAAAATCAATGCTGTAACACATGACCTAATGCACACATATCTCCATCATTGTAAATTATTATCATTTTATGGTGAGCGAAATGATAATTGAAAGCTTGTGACTACAGGTCAAGTTCCATAAATAACTGAAACACTGAGTCCATCAAAGAACATCAGCCTGTATTCACGCGCGGCCACCGAGAGCCAGAGTTTGACCCACACTTGTTTTCTGTTTTTTTTCCTGTCTACTTTGGTAATCATAGAAGTTAATGTCCAACATGAAAACTTAAATTATTTATTAACTGTATTCAGATAATGCTTTTTTTTAATCAAGCCAGTATTAAGTATAGCTAGATATAGTTGTTTCCTTTTGTTTGGACTTTTTTTTTTATTTTAATTGCAAACATTTGTTGGAAAAAACATAGGTCACTTTGCAGTTAAAACATTTAAGTTCCCAAACCAAGCAAACCCCATGTGGACGATGCTACAACAACAAAAAAAAAAAAACTGGCAGTTTTCCAACCACTAACCCAACAGACGAAACAGAGGCTGATTTACAGACCAAAATGAGATTTGGTAGGT